GGAAGCAACATTTCTCTCAGAGACGAGCATATCCCGAGAGAGTAATGTTTTGGGTCCCTTTTATATCAAATCCAACAAAATCGGAAACTTGGGCCCAACATACAGGCCCATTTTGGAGCCCAGTAACCTATCCCAATTATTGTTCGGGTCGGATCATCCCGGCGTACCCGAATAGAGCTTCTGTTTAGCTTCAATGGCGGTTCGCATCGCATAGATCAAAGGAAGATTGTTGAACTCTGAGAATTGAAGTCATGGGTATCTTGAGTTACGCCGTCTCCGGCGGCGGTTTTGCAGTAATCGGCGTCTGGGAGTCACTCGACTCGTCGAACCTGGATCCGAATCCATCTACTGCTACTGATCCATCTTCTCCTATGGCTGAGACCAAATCTGTCCGATCATCTTCCATCTCCGTAGCTTTGCTTTCGTCTCTGTTTATTGCCAACTCGATTTTCTCCCTCTTCAGCTCAATCGGGTCTCGTGATCGGGTCGGGTCGATGATCCAATTACAGATCCTATCGGTCGCGATTCTATTTCTGGTGTACGCCCTTTTAACTTATCTGGTAAACTCCAAAAACTCTGTTTTTGTTGCTCTTCCGTCTTCGATTACGAGTTTGGTGCTTCTCTTTGGCTTCATCGAGGAGTTTTTCATGTTTTACCTTCAAAAGAAAGATACTTCTGGTATCGAGAATCGCTACTACGATCTCATGCTCGTACCCATTGCGATCTGTGTCTTCTCCACGGTTTTTGAGCTGAGATCCGATGCAAACACGCAACGATTCGCGAAATTAGGTCGTGGGATTGGTTTGATTCTGCAAGGAACATGGTTTCTGCAAATGGGTATCTCGTTTTTCACAGATTTGATCACTAATAACTGTACATTTCACGAGAAGAGCAGAGGCAATTTCACGATCAAATGCAAAGGACACAATGATTATCACCGAGCAAAAGCAATAGCAACTCTTCAGTTTAATTGTCATTTGGCTCTAATGGTGGTTTTAGCTACTGGATTGTTCTCTGTTGTTGCGAACAAGAAAGGTTATCTCCGTCAAGATCACTCTAAGTATCGACCTCTCGGAGCTGAGATGGAGAATTTAAGTAACTTCACTCTTGATTCTGATGAAGAAGAGGAGATACGAGAAGAAAGCAACGTAGCTAAGGAAACTGGTCAAAATGGAATCAGCTCACACGATTAAAGCTATAAATCAAAGTTTCATACTTTCTCTTTTGGTTTTGTTTCTGTTAATTTTAGAAATGTTGTTGGTCGATGGGAGGATTGAAGATGATATGTAACCAAACACACGAAACAATTATGTTTGAATCTTTTTCATTTGTAGCAGAAGAAATCTTTTCTTATAAATAAACCTTTTTCTAGATGTCTTCCTCTTACGGTTTGCTAGTTAGTTAAGAGCTACTACAGTTAGATCATTTGTGGAATCTTGTGGCAAACGGTTAGTTTAAGTCGATTGTGTCGAAGGAACTCATTTAGCGGCTTCTTCTTCTTCACCTCCTTGATCGCTGCTACTCTTGAAGTACTTGCATAGAACTATGTAGATCACAAAGCTTATTGTACTTGTAAGAGCAAGAAGCCAGTAGTATTTGTCAAGCCGAGCTTCCGACATATCATCCGCGAACCAGCTTTGGTGGTCACCTGTTGAGCAAGAATAAGCCTCGACGATTGAGATAAGCGCGGCGCTCACAAAGCTTCCAACACCAAAGACGCTTGTGTAGAGAGCAAATCCCATTGTTCTCATTCTAACCGGAACCTCGCTGTAGAAAAACTCTTGCATCCCAACGACTGTGAAAATATCCGAGATTCCCAAGAGGATATACTGAGGTAGCAACCAGAAGATGCTCATCGGGACTGTTTCCGGTTTATAATCAAGTAAGGACTTCATCTTTTGGCTTATGTCCAGTCTTTTCCTTTCGACTAATGCCGCAATAACAATGGCAATGATCGATAGGAACATTCCAGCTCCCATTCTCTCCATCACGGAGATACCTTTACTATTGTTCTTGATTCTCTTGGTAATAGGTATCAGAATTTTATCGTATAATGGCATAAGAAGGATGATAGATAACGTGATCGTGCTTTGCAGGGTCGCGGGTGGGATTTTGAAGCTGGACCCGATGTTTCGCTTCATAGTCATACCTTGTTTGGTGAAAAAGGTCGCTGGTAGCTGGAAGATAACAGCAAACATGAGAAGCATCGTCCATATGGGTAAAAGGCGAAGCACTAACTTGACGTTGTCAAGTCCAGAGAAAACAGTTTTCGAGCTTTCTTCATCTTCCAATCCTTTGGTGGCTGTTGAAGAAGTCTCAATGTCTTCCATCTCAGTGCTATCACATTTACAGAGAGGCCTCTCTTGTAACCTACGTAAACAAGAAACAGAGAGTAAGAACTGGCCATCGTAAGTCACTAAAAACTTTAAAAGACCAATCCTCGCTAAAAAAATTGCGGTTTTTTTTGGACTTACTCAAGCTCCATAGCATCCAAATCATCATCATCTACAAGTGTAAATTTACTTCTCTGCTTCACAACTCTCCCTTTGATGAACTTAAGAATCTTCTCAAAAGGTGTAGTAGTTTTTTTCATCTTCAAACCGGTACCAGGACCATAAACATAGATTCCGCAACCCGACAAGAACAACAAGATCAACAGGAACATTGCGATTCCTGGAATAGCAAAACCGAGGACCCAACCAAAAGTGTCTTGAATATAAGCCATGACTGTTACACCCATAAGGCTTCCAGTGCAGACACCAAAGTACCACCATTGGAAAAACTGAGTCTTTTGGGTAGCTTTAGCGTCCTTTTGATCACCCGAGGGAAGCTCGGAATCCTTATCGAGTTCGTGGTCTAGCTGGTCCGCACCAAAGGCTTGAAGAGAAGGGTTTAAGACGCCTAAACCGATTGAGACAAGACATAGTGAAGAGTAGAGAAAATAAGTAGAGATGGTCTTAGTAGCTGAACGTGACCCAGCAAATGCCGTCCATGTCAATCCCACTAGCCCCTTTGAACCCAAAAAAAACAGATATAACAATTAGATAAGAATTCAAATATAAAGCAAAAGAAAAAATCGAATTTCCCACTAAGCTAGCTTTTTGCCAATAAGATAAGACCCATACAAGCACTATGTCAACATTTATAATCAAAACTTCATTATTAACCAAATGATCAATGGAAACAACATTAGTGGTAACAAAAACCAAATAATAAAAACCCAATATCTGATTTTTAACTCTTTAAGATACTCTAAACCGTTATTTTCAAACACTACTAGTAACATATATATCATCACTTGATCACTTCCTTAAATCGGACAATGACTCAACACCCAAATTTTGACTTCCTTATACAGTTTAAACCAATTTCTTACACCCAATTTCTTGACACACCACCAGTTAATCACTTCATGACTGCTTAATTAAGCATATACATAGACATATACGAGACCAAACAATATTAACATATAATCAATTTCATTAACAACAACACAGTTTTAAGAAATAAACAAAACTTCAATGATCCAATACCTATACAAATATATAAATATTGTGTATTGTAAGAGATTTTTACCACAAAGTAGATAGAAGAAGAAGCAAGGATAGTGAAGAATCTGTCCCAATAAGCATCAGCCAAAGGAGCAGAGAAGAGAGGCAACATAGAAGTGAAACCAGCCCAAGTGTTAACTGTTTTAGCTGCTCTTGAATTACTCATCTTCACTACATCAGTTAGATATGTCACTAAATTTGATGCAACTCCTTTGAATGCATATCTCTCCATTCCCGCAATCACTATATATATACACACACAAAAAAACATTACGTAAAAGAAACTTCGATTTCAATGAAGTTGCAATCTTTGAAAAAAAAAGAAGGAGAGAGACAATTTATTCACCTATGAGAAGGGCACATGACTTGCCAAGTCCTCTTGTCTTCTGTTCTAAGTCCATTGGAGAATTCTTTGTGTTTATTGTCTA